CTCTAGTTTGGTTTTGGTGAATTGATGAAACCCTAAGTGCTAACCTAGTTCATCAAGTGATCATGAGATAGGTAGCACACTTCAAGTAGAGAAGCAAATGAAGATCATAACATGACAATGGTGATAGCATGGAGATGATCAAGGGCTTACACTTGAAGAAAAGAAAGAGAAAAACAAAAAGCTCAAGGCAAAGGTATAAACCATAGGAGCTATTTTGTTTTGGTGATCAAGACACTTAGAGAGTGTGATCACATTTAGGTTTGATAGCCGTACTATTAAGAGGGGTGAAACTCGTATCGGAATACGGTTATCAAAGTGCCACTAGATGCTCTAACTCATTGCATATGCATTTAGGATCTAGTGGAGTGCTAACACCCTTGATAATATTTTGTGAAGATATGCTAACACATGTGCACAAGGTGTTTGCAGGGTTGAGATGGGTTTGGGTCCCTCTCTCCCTCCCGCCGAGCTTGCTCGGCGGGATTCGGCGCTTTTGGAAAAATGAAATGTCTATTTTCTATTGCGCCGGATGCAAAATTCTTGGTGGTTGGCACACTTGAGCAAGGGTGAAGAAGTTAGAGTTGAAATGGAGTTGATCGAAATGATGCTGGCGTCGGTCTACTGACCGGACGCTGGGTCACTCAGCGACCGGACGCTGAAAGGCTGCGTCCGGTCGAGCTGTCAGACGGCACAGTGGATAGGGTTGAGCACCGGACGCTGGTCTGCGTCCGGTCAAGGTGGACCGGACGCGTCCGGTCAAAAAAACATGCCTCGGGGAGCTTACTGGAAACGACCGGACGCTGGGGCTTCAGCGTCCGGTCAGTTTTATCGGACGCGTCCGGTCATGCCCGGGAGCTTACTGTAAACGACCGGACGCAGGGGCTTCAGCGTCCGGTCAGTTCGAAGGAGCAGCGTCCGGTCGAGGCTGATGACCGTTGAGTCTGGACACGTGGCTGACATCGAGCGACCGGACGCTGAGAGCCAGCGTCCGGTCAGTCTGACCGGAGCGTCCGGTCAGAACGCGTTTTGCCCAGTGAAGGGGTATAACGGCTCTATTTGATGGGGGCTCTATTTATAGCCCCATGGCCGGCTCAAGGGACAACTCTTGCACATTTTCATTGACATAGCAAGCTTGTGAGCCTAGCCAAAGGACTCCCACTCATCTACATCATTGATTCATCTTCGTGATTGATTGGTTCATTCATCTACACGGCGGTATAACCCTCTTGATCACTCTCTTTACTTTACCGCAAACTAGTTGACAAGCTCTTTAGTGTAGCTAGTTGTGAGAGCTTGCATGCTTGGTTGGTGTGGCTCTTTAGTTAGCCTTTGAGAGCACACTAACATAGGGTAGTGTCATTGCTCTTGTGTGAATTGACACTATCTAAACTAGAATTGTGGTAGGTGGCTTGCATTTTTGAGTAGGCTAGCGCAACACTCGCTTCGCCTCATAATTGTCTAACCATTTGGTTAAGTGTTGTTGTAGAAATTTTTATTAGGCTATTCACCCCCCTCTAGCCATTAGGACCTTTCAAACGGTTCGCGCGTGGTGGTTGAGAATAGAGTCATGAGGATTTGGGATCGTCGGCGTCGCCTTCTTGCCAAGGTAACCAGAAGCGCAAATCGACTCTACGTCCTAAATGTGCAGGTGGCACAACCCCTCTGTCTCGCTGCTCGTCGGGATGACGAGGCGTGGCAGTGGCACGAGCGTTTCAGGCACCTTCACTTCGAGGCCCTGAAGCGGCTCAGTGCCACGGAGATGGTGCGAGGTCTGCCGTGCCTCAACCATGTGGAGCAGCTCTGCGACGTCTGCGTGTTGATGAAGCAGAGGCGACTCCCCTTTCCCCAGTGGGCGAGCTTTCGAGCCAAGGAGAGGCTCGAGCTTGTGCACGGGGACTTGTGTGGCTCGGTGACACCGGCCACACCGGGAGGACGACGCTACTTCATGCCACTCATCGACGACCTCTCCCGCTACATGTGGGTGATGGTCCTCGGCAGCAAGGGAGGCTGCGGACGCCATCAGGCGCGCGCAAGCTGCTGTGGAGGCGGAGTGCGGCCGCAAGCTACGCGTGCTGCGCACCGACAACGGCGGCGAATTCATGGTGGCTGAATTCGCGTCGTACTGCGCTGACGAGGGCATTCAGCGCCACTACTCCGCGTCGTACAGCCCGCAGCAGAACGGCGTCGTTGAGTGGCGCAACCAAACGGTTGTGGGGATGGCTCGGGCCCTCCTCAAGCAGAGGGGGATGCCGGCTGTCTTCTGGGGAGAGGCTGTTGTGACGGCCGTCTACATCCTCAACCGCTCGCCTACCAAGGCCCTCGACGGCAGGACGCCATACGAGGCTTGGCATGGGGCGCAAGCCGGTGGTCTCCCACTTGCGGGTCTTCAGCTGCCTCGCATTCGCCAAGAAGCTTGGTCACATCAGCCAGCTAGACGACAGGAGCACTCTGGGAGTGTTCATCGGCTATGCGGAGGGCTCGAAGGACTACCGCATCCTCGACCCGAAGACAACATGTGTGCACGGCGCGCGACGTTGTGTTCGATGAAGGGCGAGGATGGGCGTGGGACAAGGCGGTGGACGATGGCTCGGCTCCGACTTACGACGACTTCACTGTCGAGTACGTCCACTTCGATGGAGCTGGGGGAGTAGGCAGCTCTTCCTCGGCGAGCGCGTCTACCCTAGTCCCCGAGCCTCCACCGACCCCGGCGCCTGCTACTCCGACAGCACCACGCTCTCCAGCCAGGACCTCGGCTGCGATGAGTTCTTCGCCGGCTCCACCACAGCCGGCAACGCCACGCACTCCAGCACCGACAGGCACCACTCTAGGCACGTTTACCCCACCACCAGCTCGTGTCGAGCACAGCCCGATTAAGCTCGCTACTCCACTCTCTCACGACGAGGAGCGCGTCGACGCGTACCACGACAGCGAGCCGTTGCGTTACCGTATGCTAGAGAACCTTCTCAGCGACCAGCCGGTGCCGGGACCGGTGCCTCACGACCTGGAGGCGCAGTTGCACCTTGCGTGTGACGACAGTGAGCCTCGGTCGTTTGCAGAGGCCGAGAGACACGCGGCATGGCGCGCCGCGATGCAGTTGGAGATGGATGCGATTGAGAAGAACCGCACCTAGGAGCTTGCTGACCTTCCTCGTGGTCACCGCGCGATCACCCTTAAGTGGGTGTACAAGCTGAAGAGGGATGAAGCTGGTGCCATCGTCAAGCACAAGGCTCACTTGGTGGCACGAGGTTTCGTGCAGCAGGAGGGGGTCGACTTCGACGACGCATTTGCTCCCGTGGCACGGATGGAGTCCGTGCGACTCCTCCTTGCGCTAGCTGCTCAAGAGGGCTGGCGTGTTCATCACATGGACGTCAAGTCGGCGTTCCTTAACGGTGACTTGAAGGGGGAGGTCTACGTGCACCAGCCGTCGGGATTTGCAATCCCCGGCAAGGAGGGCAAGGTGCTCCGCCTGCGCAAGGCCCTCTATAGCTTGCGGCAGGCACCGAGGGCGTGGAATGCCAAGCTAGATTCCACGCTAAAGGGGATGGGCTTCGAGCAAAGCCCGCACGAGACGGCCATCTACCGACAGGGCAGTGGAGGAAATGCCCTGCTGGTGGGTGTCTATGTCGACGACTTGGTGATCACTGACACCAAGGATGCGGAGGTGGCAGCATTCAAGGAAGAGATGAAGGCCACCTTCCAGATGAGTGACCTGGTGCCTCTCTCCTTCTACCTGGGAATCGAGGTGCACCAGGATGACTCCGGGATCACGCTTCGACAAACCGCCTATGCCAAGCGCGTCGTTGAGCTAGCTGGGCTCACCGACTGCAACCCAGCTCTCACTCCGATGGAGGAGAGGCTGAAGCTGAGCCACGACAGCACGACGGAGGAGGTGGACGCTACACAGTACCGGCGTCTTGTGGGGAGCCTTCGCTACCTCACCCACACATGGCCGGACTTGGCATTCTCCGTCGGCTACGTTAGTCGATTCATGCAGCGACCGACGATGGAGCACCAGCAGGCTGTGAAGAGGATCATCCGCTACGTTGCGGGGACTCTCGACCACGGCCTCTACTACCCGAGGTGCCCTGGGGCGGCACACTTCGTCGGGTACAGCGACAGCGACCACGCCGGCGACATCGACACTAGCAAGAGCACGAGCAGGATCCTCTTCTTCCTCGGCAAGTGCCTCGTTAGTTGGCAGTCGGTCAAGCAGCAGGTGGTGGCCCTGTCCAGCTGCGAGGCCGAGTATATAGCGGCCTCCACCGCTTCGACTCAGGCGCTCTGGCTAGCTCGACTGCTTGGTGATCTCCTTGGCAGAGACACTAGAGCGGTGGAGCTCTAGGTGGACAGCAAGTCCGCTCTAGCCCTAGCAAAGAACCCCGTTTTCCATGAACGGAGTAAGCACATTCGGATGAGGTACCACTTCATCCGAGGCTGTTTGGAGGACGGGAGCATCAAGGCGAGCTACATCAACACCAAGGACCAGCTTGCGGACCTGCTCACCAAGCCCCTTGGGAGGATCAAGTTCCTTGAGCTCTGCTCCAGGACCGGGATGGTTCAACTTTCCCACAAGATGACGCACAAGACTTAGGGGGAGAATGATGGATAAGTCTCTGTTGACAGTCCTTGTGGGGCTGGCTGCAACAGCATACTGCTTGACTGAGATGACAGCAGCAGCATACTGCTTGACTGAGAGGACAGCAGCAGCATACTGCTTGACCGAGAGGACAGCAGCAGCATCTTGACTGCTTGACTGAGAGGACAGCATCTTAGGACATCTTAGAGGACAGCATATTAGCATCTTGGACTAGCATCTTAACATATGCTTGGCTGGCTAGCAGCCTATAAATATGTATCCCCAACCCCTCAGGTTGTCATGCCATTTGTGTGAGTTTGTGTGAGAAATAAACCAGAAAATTGCCCCAACTCCTAGTGTCATCCTCTCTCGATGAGAGTAAGAATTCTGCTACTACCGAGAATGAGAGTTCAACGACTAACATTTAATTCCCATCGCTTGAACAGGTTGTGAATGAAAATCCAAAAGCAAACTCCGGGAGAAGTCCCTTAAATTGAATGGGTGGGTTACATCGACCCAACCATACCTGTCAAATAATGAGTCATTTCGATAAATTCTGTCATAGTACATGTTCCTAACCAGGGCTGATTTCCCAACACCAGCTATCCCCCACACAGACAGCACTTGCAAACCATTGAGACGTGCCTTAGCAATATAGTTACCAAGTTGGTTCATTTCTGACTTGCGTTCAACAAGGTGAAAATTCTCCACCCAATCACAGGCAGCCTTCCATTTAGATGTTGGAATTCTGTAGTAGGGCAGAAAGCCAGTACCATGGGTTGCTTCATCCTCCATTGATATTTCATTGCTGTTGTCTACCACTCTATCAGATTCCATGCTTTTATCACCATCACCTTGCAAACTCTGAAACAAAAAGTAGGTACAGAACCATATAATAGAGTTAAAAACCAAGAGAAGGGGATTTGCAGAGAGATGCAACAGGAAAAGAGCAGCAACGATGTTTCTGTGCTGAAGTCCTACATATTAATGGGATACTTTAGGAGGGGAAATCTAAGGTTGAAAGCATATGTGCAAGTTCTAAAGTTTTTCTTTTTCCCAAAAGATTACAATATGTAGTTAAGATGAGATGCTTCTACCATACTATTTCGCTTGCAAGATATGGAACCGATGAGCAGCAAATGAATACTCCGTCCTCAAAAGAGTGCTTTTCGAGTTGTTATACAATCAGTTTGACCAAATCTATATAAAAGAAATTAACATTTATGATACCAAATAAGTATCATTAGATTAATCATGTAATATATTTTCATAGTAAACCCATCTGGAGACAAAAATGTTGATACTATTTTATATAAACTTAGTGAAACTTAAAAATTGACTTAATTCAAATCTAGATTTGCACTCTTTTTGGGATGGAGGAAGTCGTGATAAAAACAGATAAGCAATATTAATGATAAACTTCATCCCTTCCAACTGAAATAGTTTAACCTTAAACACTAACATTCTTGCAGTTAACTGATGATGTTAAAGGTTTACCTCCTTCAAAAAGACACATATAGAGTGCTGTGCAGAGTACTGCTTCAGCTCCGATACTTGGTATGAACGCCCAATGCACAAGCTTGCAATTTCACACTGCTGTGTGGATACAATGACCCAACTGCCATTCATCCTGTCTGGCAGGTACGTCCTGATGGTGTCCCAATCTCCGATTGTGGACACATTTTCCAGGACAACTAGGTATCTGTTCTCATTTACTTTGTCCATAAATGCCTCAATGAGTCCACCTTCCATTGTCGCCATTACCTCAATCCTCTTCAGTTCATTCACATTTATAACGATTCCTTTTTGCAGGCAACTGTTTGTGTAGAACTGAGTCACCATACTACGGAGGAACTCGTGGGGATTGAAAGGATGTGTAAGCTTCACCCAGCCGCGGCATTCAAATTTTCGACAGAGTTCTGGGTCCTGGTAGGCCTTTCTGATGATTGATGTTGTACCAAGTTCACTACCTGTTCCCCAAACTGAGATTACCCCAAGGTCAGCTTGTTCCTTTGTGAGTAGCTGGGTGAGGTCCCCTAAGCCTTGCTGTTTTTTTGCGGTGTCCCTCGCCTCAACCAGCATGTCAAGTGCCATTGGGCCAAAAGCTGCGTTGGGTGCCGTCTGTTGCTGCATGATGGGCTTGGATCCAGAGTCGCTGATGAGGCTGTAGCGTGAGTTCCTTCGACTCACATCCTCAACCCTAACCTTGAGCCGCTCTATCTCAGTTACCGCCTCGTCTAAGGGCAATGCTGATGCTGCCAGGCAAAGTGGAAGCATGCGGCGCCACCACCTTGGCTTGTTGTCCAGGTGGATGACAAACTCTATGCAGTCCTCCACATCATATGCCAGATCACGAACCTGCCTCACCCAGGTCCTCACAACGTTGTTCTTCACACGCTCCTCATTGGCAACGTTGAGGAAGGAGTGCATCATCTCAAACTCACCAGCAATGAATACAAGGTTGTGCTGCACACTTTGCTGCAATTTTGCCTCCTCCTCAATCGCTGACTGAGCCTTGGTCAGGGCCCCCTCCACCACTGTCTTGGCCAAGCCAACCACAAGGTCTGCCATTGCTCTTACAGTCTCTGATTCACTCCTTAGTGATAATAGCTAGCTAGGAATTGTCTGAGCACCTACGGATGGAGCTGTTAGTCAACTATAAAAAAGCTAAATTGGACTTTTTAACAAGACTCCGCAAGAGTCCGATTCGGAAAAAAAAAAAAAAGAGTTTACCTGTACCTCGTGTAAAGGATGTCCCTCGCAGATAAACAGATCTGCACTGATGCTAATAACGTTATCATCTACATCTGCTTCAAAAAGGAAATTTTACATTAATAGAATAGAGACAGATTGATTGGCATATTTTGTAATGTGGGGGCAAAATGATCGCTTAAGTGCAAGACAACAGGTATGCATGAGGAAGAAAGATCAAAACAAACTTTTTAGAAGGGCAACTTGGTGGTAGATAAGCACATACTCACCACTTAAACAAAGTGAAAACATGTTACTGATTAAGATCTACTTGTGAATTAGTTTGCTGTGAACCGAACACATGGGTTGGGCCCTTCAAATGAGTTGAACCTGGTTGAAAAAAACTGAGCCTGATCGACCTTGGGCAGCCTTCCCCATACAGGTTGATTCTTCAGTTAGGGATTTCTTCTCATTGGCCATCATCTGAGAAGTTGGGAATGGAAAGAACACCCTTTTTGGACTAATAATTGGCCGCATGGTCAGTGTGTATCTCCCTGACTTGTTTGGACTGTTTTCTTAAAGGTAAACAAAGCAAAGAACAGTTTGAGATGCTTTGGCTGAAATGAGTTGGATTCCAAGGTGCAGTCACTGTTATGGTCATTGCTAAATTTCTTGATTTATGGGACCTCTCAGAGGTGGAGCTGCAGCCCGAGGTCGAAGACTCCCCACTTATTTGGAAAAGTTGGGCGTCTGGCAAATGCAAATTCTTCATGTGGTTGGTCACCGATTATAGGTGGTGGACTGCAGATCGTCTTGCTACAAGGGGGTTACCTCATGAACGTTGCCGGTTATGTGATCAGGAGGAAGAAACAATTGACCACTTGCTTGTTTCATGTGTTTTCACTCGGCAAGAACCTTTCTGCCCTCTTGAGGACTCCAAGGCTGACTCCCTCCTGCTGTTCTCTTCTTTCCCTCTCTTTCTGTACAGTTGTACAGCCTGTAGACTGTAGTCCTTTCCCTTTCCTATCTCCCTTTCTCTCTGTACAGTTTATTTTATTTGAATTTATATACCAACAGTGGGGGCTTCCCCTGCTGTATTTATGGATCAAAAAGTGTGGTCTCCTGCAGCAAGTGAGTTTGCAAGCCTTAACCTCCCAGCCCAATGAGATTTCCTTTGATGATTGATGCGCAACAACAAATGATAGATTGAGTGGTCCAGTTTGAAAAGGGCCAAATTCCATCATCATCTTAGGAGCATGGGCAATCTGGGATCACCGCAATGGCTGTGTTTTTATGGGATTTTGCCAAGCTTCAATGAGGTCTTGTGTTCTTTATGGATGAGTTACACCTTTGGTGTTTGGCTGGCTCGAGGGGTCTCTATCTCCTTGTGACCTTGCCCTTGAGCCAAAAGACAATTGATGGATGGTTGAGCTCACCTATAGTGTTTTGCGTTAGTGGCGAGCATGTAAAAGTTTTTGGGGTGTGTGTCTGGCTGTTTGGTGTACGGGTTAAAAACCCTTTTCATCTTCTTAATATAATGATACACTGCTCTCCTATGTGTTCGAGAAAAAAAAAGTGAACCACACAGTCACTGAGATGGCGAATGCCCAATAGAGTCCAGTTGATTACCTGCCCATCAAAAACTACGTGGGCAGTGCTGGATTTTGGTTGGGTATGATTTGTAATTTCAGAGGAAACAACAAATCCAAACTCAGGGGCGCAGACAGAGTGCAGTGAAGGAGCAGCAACCCTGCAGTAGCAGGGTTTAGTGATGCTAGCGAGGTGCAAATGCTGCAGTTGTGCTGGGGCACCAGAGACAGGGATGGCACGTGCAAAGCAAGCGGGCGCGAAATCAACCAAACAGAGCACACAGTCTTCCACTAGGTAATTCTGTCGAGCACACACCGTGCATCTACTACTGGCTGCGGCCCACAGAACAGTACAGAGAAGAGGGCCTGCTAGGGTCCTCCAGGAGCCGTTGTGCCGAGCTTGAGATCGGCCTATGGATGCCGGATGGCGACGTGCGCGGTGGCCGCCAATTTGCAAGCACAGCAATGGTTTGTGGCCGAGTTCAGGGGTGATTTGACTAGCTGGTCCCGTATTGACTAATTTGTCCTCCACAGACTGGTAGGAGGGAGAAGAGAACAAGGATTCTTTGTTCAGCACGAGAGGAGACATGTATAATCCAGATCCGTCCGTGAGCATCTAATCCAAAACTATACGACCAAAAAAAAATCTGGATGCAAGCGGCAGCGATGTACCTTGAGATCGGACATGGCATGGGAGACGACGTTGACTGCGTCGGCCACACGGACTGGGAACGCGAGGGGGCCGCGCCGGGAATGCGAACGCGGCAGGTGGACGCCGATACGCCGTGATTGGGAGGTGATTTGCGCCAGGAGCGATGCCGCGCAGCTCGTTCGCCTGGGGCTGGCCAGCCCCTCGAAAAACACTGTTCATCTCAAAGTACTTTTCTCTCGTAGCAACAATACAAACCAATCAACCGAAGAGCCTGCTCACCCGTCAACAGCATAAACAGTGACCTACGCATCGACTGATTCCACATCATCTCTCGCTCTCTAAAAATCCTCAGTCATTTCAATAAAAAAGTCTTTTTTCTAAATATTCTGTGCACTCTGGAAATATGTTTGGTAGATATTCAGATTCTTACACAAACATTTTAGATCTAGATTCTGATTTACGAAATATAGTTGCTTAATAATTAATTAATTAGCTTTAGTATAAGCTTCACCTTCTGTTTGCAACATGTTTTCGATGTTGTTTGTGCCATATGTGAACTAAGTGAAGTGTTACTCATCTCTATTTTGTAGTGGTTATATGCTTAACATGTTGCTTTGTCCTGCACTTGTATGTTTAAATGTGAATATGGCTAGTTTGATAATTTGTGTTATGATTGTTATTAACTACCAACACTTATGCCACACTTTAACTTGTTGTGAAGTCTCGATGAGAGAGTATGAGAGTGGACGTAAGAATGATTAGTTACCCTAGTTCACCCGACGATGTGTTGCTTTGTCTTTTCGCGTTTTGTAAACATCTTTGTTGTGATTCACTACCGGACTCAGGCTCTTTGCCAAGTGCCTGTGACACTCGGCAAATCCCCATATACACTCGGCAAAGCCCTTGCCGAGTGTAACCCTCGGCAAAGATCACTCGGCAAAGCCGGTGACGGCAAAGGCCTCTTTGCCGAGTGTCTTTTATCGGGCACTCGGCAAAGGCTTTGCCGAGTGCCCGTAAACCACTCGGCAAAGAAAAGTTGCCTGATGGCGCCAATTGACGGTGACGGTCGCTTTGCCGAGCGCCTAACGGAGGGCACTCGGCAAAGCCCGCCCCCTTTGCCGAGTGTCAATCCTACTACACTCGGCAAAGGTGGCCGCTTTGCTGAGTGGCTAATGGGCGGCACTCGGCAAAGGCAGGGAGGCTTTGCCAAGTGCCTTACTGGTGGCACTCGGCAAAGCCTCCCTGCCTTTGCCGAGTGCAATGGCGATAGCACTCGACAAAGCCTCCCTGCCTTTGCCGAGTGCAATGACCATAGCACTCGGCAAACTTTCCAGCTTTGCTGAGTGTCTTGATGATTGCACTCGGCATAGCTGGGAAATTTGCTTTTTTTGCATTTTTTTGTTTATTGCATCCACACATACATATATCACACAACCATCACATATATATCACATAGCCATCACATATAATCCATAACCATGACAAATATCATCACAAGTTGTCCACAAGTATCACATAGTCCATAAGTATCATCCAAGTGCCGCCACAAGTGCCACCATTCACAAATAAGCATCACAAGCACAAGTCCATCTACCTCTATTGTTGACGGCCACTCCACTGGTCCCACTACGACGAAGGTGTGCCCTGAGCTGGAGGTGTGCCATGAACATCATTCGACGCCGCCGATTGCCCCTGCACAAAAGAGAAGTGATTGCATGTGTGAGACAAGATTTAAGGTAGGTTCTAAAAACTTAAAAAAAGCAACATATTAGTGTCAGTTCGAAATTTCGGCAGCACCTCCCCTGCACGGTGAGGTGTCCAAAACCTACAATAAAACAACGGTACGATGACCGACAACCACATATGCATATTCACATATCATGGTGCATTTGTCTCAACATATCATTTGGATTCACATTCATATATCTATATCCACATTCACATTTAGATTTAAGGTAGAGAAACTCACAGGAGTGACAGCAGGATCATTTGGTGGAGTGAATATCATCGGTGGCGAAACATAGCCTGAGTAAGCTCCAAGACATTGAATATACTGAAACATCTGCTCCATCCTCCGTCGATCCTCCTCAGCCCTCGCCTCAGCCTCCTCCCGTCGCCTCCTCTCTTCCGCCACCTCGGCCTACAATATTTCACCCCAATGATACAACGCAAAGCAAAGGTATGTAAAAATCAATGAATGACGAATAAAACAGAAATAACCTTGAGTGCCTGCATCGTGTGCTCCTTGCTCGAATCTTAGAGAGAGACCTAGTACGGGCCAGGTCGATTGCGCCGTCGCCAATCCAGTACCGCCCGTGCTTCTTCCCTCCTCCCAACCTCATGACGACTTCTCCATCAAGGTCCTCGGAGGTGGGATCGTACTCTAGCCCATGGACCTCCCTTGCCATCGCTATGTACTCAGTGAGGCGGGTGTGGATGGATGAGTTGCTGTACGCCTCGGGCGGGTCCTCCGGGTTGTAGTGGACATCGGACGTCGCCTTGCCCTTGTGGGCCATTGCCCACGCCTCGAACTAGGAGACGGGCGCGCCACCATGTGACGCCGACTGCAAAAGAAACAGCAGGATGATTAGAAATTTGCATAGTTGAGCTTTAGAATAAAGAAATGGATTCAGCGTACC